GTGATTTCAAAAAGCAGGTTAGTTTTCTAAATAATTTGAAAAGTAGATCAATTCTCTAATTTTTTTTTTCCGAATATTATATATATATATAAAAACTCCCATTTGCTGCCCTTAGGAGTTAGAAGATGGGTACTGTCATTTTTTAATTTTGATGATATATAGAAAATGATTCATTCCCTTAATTTTGCCCTCCTAATTTCATTAATAACAATATGGAATTAAAAGAGTTAAAATGTAGGACCGCTTCACATAGATCTTAACCATGTTATTAGGAGTAATTTGGGGTTTCAATTAGGAGAATCTAACATCTCTCTATATTACAACTTTATAATTTAAAATAAAGATTTTCATTTGATCTATAAAATAAAATAGGGAGAATCAAAATCTCATATCAAACATATGACATCAGATTGTATATCGTGTAATATTCTATGAAGGTGCATCATATATTTTGAAATTTATAATTAAAAGAATGTACAACATAGAAACTGATCATATAACTGCATATATAACTTTTTTCACATAGACATACCTTATGTAAGCGAATTGTATTTAATTTTAGGATTAATTTTTATTTATTTAACAGAATAGTGGTACTGTAGGGGTTGACAATCACCTTGAAATATAGTGGGTGTTTGGGAAGTGGTTTTTTTTGTAGGTTTTTTAGTTATATGATATTATTAGAGAAATTTTTTTTTGTGTTTGGGAACATAGTTAGGTTTTTTTGTGATTGGATGTGATTTTGTGAGAGAAAAAATGAAATGATTATGGGGTTTGATGTGATATTTTGTTTGGATTTATTTTTTTTTGGTTTTGTAATTAATTTGTCTTTTAGTGAAAAAAATCAAAAAACCTCCTTCCCAAACAGCGCCTAGGGGTGTTTGGGAAGAGAGTTAGGCTAAAATAACTCATTAAAAGACAAAGTAGACCAAATTAGTTAATAAGACAAAATATTACATTTAACTCAGAATTAGTTTATTTTTTCTCTTATAACTATCAAATCAACTACAAAAATAATAATAATAACTAACTTTTTAAATGCAACTATTTTAGCTAGACTAAAATAGTCAAAAAGTCAAATAACCAACTAAAATAGTCAATTTTCCAAACAAGGCCATAAAGAGATGGGTAAATTACAAACATACCCCCTGAGGTTTACTTAAATTATAAATTACCCCTTGTGGTTTTAAAAATTACATTATGCCTCTTGAGGTTTCTAATTTTATAACAAATAAGTCCTTTTATTAATAAATCATCAAATTAATTAACAGTTTTTAATAATGTTAAGATTTTATTTTAATTAATAATTCAGATAATTTTATTGTTATATAAGTGAATGGTTAAAAATTTCACTTTTTTAATTAATTCTGTTAAATAAAAAATTCTGACATGGAGTTATTTGTAATTTTTCAAATTACAGAAGCAATTCATATTTTAAGTAAACCTCAAGGATGTATTTGTAGTTTATCCTAAAGAGATTAGCTTCTGTCATATGGCCTTGTTTGACCCATTCGACGATCACGAGTTCGATTATGATGATTTGAGTTATTTATGTTATAAGTCTTTTTTTTTTTTTTTTTCTCTCTTTTTTTTTCCCAATAGATAAGAGAATAATTACATTATGAAAATTATTTACATGATCAAACAAATTACTTGAACATAATAGTTAGAAAGTTAACAAAGTCCAATAACCAATTCACCAAACACATCAAGCAAAGCCCAACATCACTAATAATCACATAAATCCCCAACCGCCATAATGGGGAGAAATAAACCAAAGACTGCAAAGGGTATCAAATTCCTCTATATGGAATTAACCTTAAGATTTCACAATGTAAAAGGTGTTACACAAGTACTAAGCAAATGTCCTGATTCTTAGGTCATGTTTATAAATTATTCATAAAAAAAAAATTAGATTAACTTCTATAATCCTAGTAATGTGAATTCATCATATTTGAATAAATATATATATATATATATATATATATATATTATTCATTTTTTATGATAAATATAATGAAATTATGTGACGTGTATAATCCAATCAATCTCATTTTTTCATATAAAGAATTAAAATATATACAACTCAAACAATTGAAGTATGATCTATACTGAGCCCAAGAAGCCATATTGGGCCTCGTATGTATCATGACTTTTTTACAGTGACGTTAGTGAATTTTTACTACAGTAAAGACATGAACATATTCCCACCATCTAAAGCTACCATTAAAGCAAATTGTAATGATTCAAAGTACTAATTTTGATGTTTTAATAGAGTATTAATAATATGACAAGAAGAAAAAAAAAAAACAAAATAAACTAAGATCAAAATATCACATCACAGTAGGTACTGACAGCTCATTAAAGCTGATTTTAGAGCTCAAAAATTAACACTCTAAAGCATTTTTCTAAAACAAAATAGCAACAAAGTTTTTTTTTTTTTTTTTTTTTACAAAATCAGTCAATAACAATCAATAAATCTCAACAAAATCTCAAACAAATTCAAGTAATTGTGATACATTTTTTAATTATAAATTTTGAATATCATTTTAGATAAGGACAATTAAAAATATTGTTTACTTTGCAAACGGAAAATATTCCATTTTAAGGGCAAAATCATTAATTGGATAAAACATAAAATAGTTTGATAAAAATAAATGTCAAAAAATTATTTTTAAAATTTTTAAAATTATTTCTATCCTCCAAAAAGACAAAATTATATAAAAATAATAAATCACAACGCTCAAATAATACACATTAATGTGTGTTTTGGAAGGAAAAAAATTGAGTACACACCTAACTTTTGGTATAGTATACAAAGTGGTTGCCCTGAGATTTGAACTTATAACCTCAAGATTTTTAGGCCAATGTTTTACTATTGAACCAATGGTCACCTTTATATAAAAATGATAAATCTTTTACATTTTATATTTTTATTTTTTCATCAAATTTTTTTTAGTATGTGTTTGAACGATGATCATATAATGGGCGATTGTTTTGTTGATATTTTTTTTATGGTTATCATGTAATGGATGGTTGTTTTTGTTATTAACATATAGTTTTGGATGGTTATCACGTAATAGATGGTTATTAAGTTTTTGATGTGTAATCGATATGTTTAATACATGAAATGTTTTTAGTCTTGAATTTTTTAATTTAATGGATTGGTTTCATAAGATATCAAAGTTGTCACCGTGTTTGACATTTGAAAAATAAAAATTAATTTAATGAAAATAAATATAAAAAAAAAATTATTTCTATCCTCCCAAAAGATAATATTATATAAAGATGATGGGTTTTTAATTTTTTTTCACAAATTTAATTTTTAATTTCTTAAAAAAAATTCTGAAAACAAAACAAAGCAAAATAGAACTTTATAACCAATAAAGTGCTAACATTATTCATTAAAAAAGATATCATTACATTTCAAATAATATATAAGTTAATAAACACAAAATAAGTTATATGATAACTTTGCTCTTGAAATTGACTATTTGTAAAAGAAATATTTTTTATTGTCATTATTTGAAACAATATTTAAAATTTAAGGTCAAATATATTACAATTGAAAAATTAGAGATTAAAAATGGTAGAGAAAATCATAAAAATAAAAGATCATGATTGCTCGGATTCCAATACCCATACCAGAAAAAAGCTCATCTCAAATAAGAAATATGAATGTTGTGTTTGAATGATTGATTTAGGTAGGAATTTGAAAAAAAAAGAAATAAACCGTGAGAGAACTAGTTATAAGTTAAAATTTTACTCTAATTCTCTCACATTTTTATTTACTCCATTTAAATTCTTACCCAAACATACGATTCAAACGCAGCATATGAAGTGGGGGAAAATCAGTGAAGAACTTGCCAGTGTTGGGCTTTAAGTAAACGCCAGCGTAGAGCAGATCGCAGAGCTTGTGAGGCCAAGACATGTCAATTTCTATATTTGCATCTTTCAAAATTGATAAGAAACTAAGGGGTTGTTTGGAATGTCATAAATAAGTGTATTTTTTGTCTTTTTAGACTAAAAAATTGAGGAAAAAAATATGAATGTTTGGGTTAATTTTTTGACTTTTGTGAAAAAATGTGTATTAAAATTTTTTATAAATTAGTGTGTAGGGAAAAATTAGGATTGAAAGTTGTGCAGCCGTATTTTTTGACTTTTAATGAATAATGATAATTTTTTAACTTTTTGAATAATTTTTTGACTTTTTTTTTTTTAACTTGTCAAACTTGACGTAAGTGGAGGCCTTGTTCTTCCGCCTTTTCTTGCTGCAATTCCCCTTTCCTTCGCTGATGAGTCTGTCTTATCACTACTGCTTTGTTCAACTTGTTTGATCTCTGAACTCCCATCAGATTCCATCCTTGCCACCATCAAAAAATTGAGAAAACTATAGTAAAACAAAAACCAAAAACAACAACAACAAAAGCTCAATCAAATCATACAAATGTTATTAATAGGAACAACAACATACAGTCTCATCTGGTTCATGATGTTTACGATGGCAAGGTGGATTTGCATCAAACGCACTCACAGTAGGCTCCATAACTATGTATTTGCCGCATCAATACATAGCTCAAGCGGCTAGAAAAATGGGTCAAGTTTGGCGTGCTGTCTAGCATTTTCTCAAATATTGTGCAACTAAAGTAAGTGGCCTAGCAGTTGATGGGTGCTGCTAATGCCCTCTGTCATTGATTTTTTTTATTGTTATTAAAATAGTGATACTGGATCATTAATATTATCATTTAATTCTTTTTTATTATGTATAACTTTATTATTTGATGGGATTGTTCAGGAGGCGCAACTCATGGCTTAGAAAAGTCCAACCCACGGTTGTATTAAGCTCCCCAAACAATCACGTGGATAACGCCCAACAACAGGCCCAATGAGGAGGCGGAGCAGCTAGTCCTGGTCCAGGCCTAGTAGCGTTTGGGCACGTGTCAGGGAAGGGGTTAGTCACATGATAGACAAAGATTTTACAGAATTATTGACACCATATATCAGGCATTAGCCAGCAGTTGATCTCTAACAAAGTGACAATCTACTTCAATATGTTTAGATTTGGAATGGAACACTGGATTAGAAACCAGAGCAATGGCAGAAACATTGTCACAGTAAAGTAGAGGAATTGTAGGAGGGACAATACAAAAATCCTGAAGTAACATACCAATCCAAGCAAGCTCTGCAGCTGTATGAGCTAAAGATCTATACTTTGCTTCAGTAGATGATCTAGATACAATGGCTTGCTTTTTAGAGGACCAAGAGATGAGGTTGGAACCTAAAAATACACAATAGGATGATGTAGATTTTCTGTCAATTGCATCGCCAGCGCAATTGGAATCTGAGTAGGCATGAAGATCAAAGGAGCTGGGTGTGTAAGTAAGACCATGAGAGATGGTGCCTTTAATGAACCGAAGTAATCTTTTAACACCAACATAGTGACCAACAGTGGGATTATGCATATGTTGACACAATTGATTCACTGCAAATGAGAGATCAGGTCTGGTAATGGTTAAATATTGTAATGCTCCAACTATGCTTCTATAGACAGATGGATTGTCAAAGGGAAGATTTGAATTTGGTGGTAGACCAGGCTTGGCAGAGATAGGAGAGGAGCAAGCCTTGCAATCCAACATGCCAGCTTTAGTAAGTATGTCCTGAGCATACTTCTTTTGAGATAGAACAGTGGTGGAACTAGAAGTAGCAACTGAGATGCCAAGAAAATAGGAAATAGAACGAAGCTCTTTCATAGAAAAGGCTTGATGCATTTGAGTAACAAGATCTTGAATATGATGAGCAGCATTACCAGTGACCAATATATCATCAACATAGACTAATAAGGCAAGAAAGATAAAACCAGTCTTTTTAATAAAAAGAGAGGAGTCACATTTGCTGTTCTTGAACCCTTGAGAAAGGAGGAAACAAGAGAAGGTGGAGTACCATGCTCTGGGTGCTTGTTTAAGGCCATACAAAGCGTTATGGAGCTTGTAAACAGACTGGGCATTAGTAGACAGTTCAAACCCTGGTGGTTGGATCATGTAGACCTTCACCTCTAAGACCCCATGAAGGAAAGCATTAGAGATGTCTAATTGCTTAATAGGCCAATGGTGATGAAGAGCATGACATAAAAGAATTCGAATGGTTGGTAATTTAGCAACTGGGCTAAATGTTTCTTGAAAATTAATTCCTCTTGTTGGAGATAGCCCTTTGCTACCAATTTGGCTTTATGCCTAGCAATTGTCCCATCAGAATTGCGTTTGATTTTGAACACCCACTTACAACCTATGGCAGTCTTGCCAGGAGGAAGTGAAACCAGAGACCAAGTCTTTTGGTTTTGTAAAGCTTGAAACTTTTCTATCATAGCTTGTTTCCAAAGAAGTGTAAGCAATGCTTCCATATGAGTGGGAAGCTCAATATTAGAATATGCAGGAGATGTCTTAACAGTGGGCAAGGCTGTTTTAGATCTAGTAACCATAGGATGGCAGTTAGTGACAGGAGGAACAGAGGGAATAGAACTAAAGGGAGCAGGAATAGGTAATTGAATAGAGATAGAGTGAATATGAATAAAAGGCTGAAATGGAGAAGTAATAGAAGGAAAATAAGGCTGAGATGAAGAAGGACTAACAGAGATAGCAGGTGTACTGCTGAGAGGAGAAGAAGAAGATGGAGGAGAAGAAAAATGAGGCGATGAAGAAGAAGACGGAGCATGAGATGGAGAAGCCCAGAAGAAAGATTGAAGACAAGGCAACTGAGATGAGGAAGAAGAAGAAGACAAGTGAGCAAAAGGAAATATTTGCTCATTGAACACCACATGCCTAGAAAGATAAATGGTCCCAGTTTTGGGCACCTATAACCCTTAGCAAATGAATGATAGCCTAAAAACACACATTCAATAGATTTAGGCTGCAATTTTGTAGAGATGTAAGGTTTAAGCCAAGGGAAACACTAACAACCAAACATTATAAGAATAGAAAAATCTGGGATGTTGTGAAAGAGAATTTCAAAAGGAGTCTTGTAGGCCACTTTGGAAGAAGGCAATCGATTAATAAGATAAGTGGCACAAGCAATGGCATCAAACCAGTAATGGAGAGGAACACATGAGTGATGAAGTAAAGCAATGGCCATCTCAGTGAGGTGTCTTTGCTTTCTTTTACCAATACCATTCTGAGATGGTGTATAGGGACATGAGTGTTGATGAAGAATACCTTGAGCCACAGTGAACTGCTTCATTTTATTATTAAAAAACTCTATGCCATCATCAGCTCTAAGAATCTGTAGAGAGGTAGAAAATTGTTTTTCTGCATAAGATTTAAACTCAAGAAACTTATCATACACTTCACTCTTGTAAGCTAAAGGATACAATCAAGTGAATCTACTAAAATCATCCACAAAGAGAACATAATATTTGTAACCAGAAGTGGAAGAAAAGGGACCCCAAACATCACTATGGATTAAAGCAAGAGGTTTATTGACAGTGGAATTAGACAATGAAAAAGGTAATCGATGATTCTTTGCAACACAACAATCAACATAGTCTTGAAGATGGATTGAAGCAGGATTTTTAAGATGTAAATAAGGCCTAAGATGCTTGAATTTCAAGCTACTAGGATGACCTAATCTATGATGCCAGACAGTACTAGTAGTAGCAGAGGAACTAGAATGCACTTGTGAAGCAAAATTGGCATGTGATGCTACAGTAATAGGAGTAGAAGCATGTGAAGCCGTAGTGGAAAAGAAATGGTACAAGTCATGAAGATTAGAGCCTTTGTGAAGAATTCTCTTCATAAACTTGTCCTGAATCACAAAATGAGTATCATCAAAGCTGATAATGCAATTGTTATCCTGAGCCAATTTTCGAACAGAGATAAGATTGGATGATAAAGAATCTGTATGAAGCACATTGTTAAGCTTTAAAAGATGATGAGGTGTGGGAAGAAGACCTTTACTAGCGTGTTCAATAGGAATAGAATTACCATCTCCTATAGTAATCTGCTTGGAGCCTTGATAGGGCTGATAACAATTGAAACGGCTAAGATCATTTGTCATGTGGTCTGTAGCTACATAATCCAAGTACCAAGGACCTGAAGTAGAAGATGATGATGGAGAACTTGAAGCATGTGAGGCAGTGACAAAAGCTCTTGGTTGTTATGATGAACTGAAATTGTGTGTTGGCAGAGACTGAGACGGAAATTGTGATTGTGAGTGGGACAAAGACTGAAATCGTGGATCCATATGATGCCAATAGTCTACAGCTAAATGGCTAGAGCCACCACAAATCTGACAAAACTGATTAGAAACTCTTCATTGACCTCGAGATGAAGGAAATCTTCCACTAGAACCTCTGTAAGATCCTCGATATCGTCTGTATTCTTATGCTCTGTAGGATCCTTGATTACGGCCACCACGTCCTCCTCTAGAATAAAATCGACCACGAGATTGATTAAAAGACTGAGTTCTGGCATTATCAAATCCTTTAACTATAGAAAAAGCTACAGTTGGTTCTGTAGATATTTTATTCTTAGAGTCTAAATGAAGAGCATCAGAACATAGTAAGGAAGAGAGATTATCCATAGTAATCACTTCTGGTCGAGCACGAATTGTAGGTGAAAAAGCATCATACTCAGAAGGAAGACCATTCAGAGTAATGAGGACTAGATCTTCATCATCAATGATGACACAAGCCAAAGCTAACTGACTAACAATGGCCTTGATTTTGGACAAATATTTTTCCATTGTATCGGATTTCTTAGTAACACTATTCAATTTATTTTTCAGTTGATGTACATGTGAACGAGATAGAGTGGTAAATCGTTTGTGCAGAGATGTCCATACCTCATAATAGTGATGAAATTGAAGAACAGATGCATAGATTAATGGTGTAAGAGTTGAAGTGATGCAACTGAGCAGATGCGCATCAATCATGGTCCATTGAAGAAATTCTGGATTAGGAATCGAACTACCTGTTGAATCAATGATCGTAGAGGAAGGACATGTGACTGAGCCATCAACATAACCAAGAAGATTGGTTGCTCGAAGAATATTGGAGAGCTGAGACTGCCAAATGATGAAATTTGTGCCATCAAGCTTGACAGTTATAAAGGATGACAAATTAGAGATTAGTAAAGTGAGATTCGAAGGAAAAGAAGAAGAAAGGGAAGACGCCATGGATCAGTTGCTCGTTAGAGCAGATAGCTCTGATACCATAAAGAAGTTTTGAACTTCATCCTCTTTCATTCCTGTTATCAAATGTTCTACAACTCATATTATATACACTGAATCTAACTAACAAGCTAACAAACACTACAACTAACTCGTAACTAGTTCTACAAATATCTATCTAAAATATCTGAACTGATGACTTAGTAAAGCTAAGCTTGAAGCTGTGGTTGGAGCTGCAAGTGAAGCTGGTTCTTGGAGCTGCAGTTGAAACTGCTTCTGCAGCCTAAGCTAGTTGAGATAGCTGAGCTACCAGCTGAGCTATCTGGGATAGGATCCTCAACAAATCTTATCTACACACAATTGAATATCCAATCTTCAAGTTCTACATTATTTCGTTACCTTTTCGCTTAATTATATTTGAATATCAACATATATCTATTTTTCTTATATTAAATTTATTGAATTTTTTTTTATGTTATGCACTTTTACATTATATTTAGGGACGGAACTATGTAGGGGCCGAGAGGGCCCCCGACCCCCTCTGATTTTTTTATAATATAATATTAATTTTATATTGACGAACATTTGTAAAATATATAATGGGATGGTTTCTTAAATTTATAAAAATTACTTTACTAAGTTTCTATTTCATTAATATTTCAGTATATAATGAAAATGATCTCTAATTATTTCACATTTTAAATAATAGTATCAATTTTATCGAGTCAATTTTATTAATCCAAGAGGTGCATGTCACTTATTTTTTAAATTTAAAAAGTAAAATGGTATGTATATTTTTTTATGAGTAATGTTAAAGAATCTAAAACTTCACTTATAAATTTTTCCACAATAACATTGCAGGGGTTGGATTTTAATTGATTGATTTCTAAACATATTAATTGACATGTAACATTCAACGTCATTGAGTGTAAATTTAAGGATTATGTTTTAGAGGCTTTAAGCAATTTTCACTTTTTATTTACTAGATTATATCAATCAATAAAATAGCTTGAAACAATGGTTTAATCGATTGGATATTGAGATCTAATAGTTCAAAACTTTTAACAACTAAAAAAACTTTTTGTTATATTTATTTAGTTTTCTCGTGAAACACTTCTTTTGCACATTTATATAAGGAATTATGTCCAATTAACAATGTACCAAAACTAACTCTGTGTTTTTTATGTATATATGTTGGCTTCTCCTGGACAAAATTCCTGGTTACACCCCTGATTATGTTGACATTTTGTATTTTGAATTTATGTTTATGGGACTATTATTTTTAATATTAAATATGCGTCACTTTTTTTTTTCTTTTTCTTTTTTAAAAAAAACAAAAACAAAGATCGACTTAAAACTAATATAAAAAGAAGTATATAAGTATTGGATCATATTTTAAAACTAAGCAAAAAAACTAAAAATTATTTTGAACCTTACTAAATGTGATTCTAAAATAAAAACATGCATATTGGTATGTTTTTCTAATGTTGTGCAAAGATTTAAAAAAATTTATGAATCCGATTGCCACCACCATTACATACTCCGCAATCGTATCAATGTTACCGTTACCGTTACAATATTTACCGTTACAATAACCACCACTGTTATTTAAAGAGAGAATATAAAAAACATGGAGGGTAGAAAAATTAATTTTAAAATGATAATAGTATATATCTTTATTGCATAAATTTATGCATGAACTACTTGTACTTCCATTATTTCGAAATCATTTGGTCTACACTTGTAACGACCCCAAAATGCATATCATGATTATAATTAATTAATTAGGTGTTAAATTTTAATTTTAATATGTATTATGTGATTTTTGAATGCCTATTTGTCGAATGTGGACATATCTGTTACAATTTCCGCTAAAATT